TTGTAATTGAGTGCACATTTGTCCCAGTGCAGGATCTTGCCTTCATTACGTTCAGTGACCTTGGACTGATCTGAGGCCTCCATCCAGGTAGCTTTGCAGTCTACAGAGCAAAAACTGAGCAGCTTCATCGAGTGGTGCCCCTCTGTGTGCATGTGTATGTGTTTACACACACATGCATCATCGTTCTTTCCAGCTCCTTCTCTCCCTCCTCTTTTTCCATTTGGTTCTGCTTTGCATTTTATTTGCAATGTGTTTTCCTGTTGTGAGTATTGCTCATGCATGTTGAGTTAAGGTTCCCCGAGGAGTCTGTCTGGCACTGAAAAATTAAAATTAACTTTTTTGTTTTTCACACTCTCAAAGCCCTTTATTATGAGCTAGGGTTTTTGCTCCAGGGTAGTAGGATGTTGGGAAGAGCTGAAATATGGCACTGTTGAGAATCAATTAGTATAAAAACTGCACTAGTACCCAACTGTGTGCTGATTACCCCATCCCTAAAGGCAACTGTTTTTGCAGTTTAGGTCACAAGTGAAATAAGCACGTTGAATCTCATTCTAACATGTCACTCTTACCAACTTTCTTCTCCACCTCAGTGCTTGCCTCTAGAAGTGTGAATTGTGTCCTGTTGAGAGCTGGGCAAAATTTGTCTGTAAACAGCAGTTCCCGCCCTTCCTCTCCCCCAGAAAATAAAGGAGTTGTCTTGCAAATACCGAACCCATTTATTTCAAAGTGTTTCAGTTTGGCGAATGGCAACAAGGGGACTTTGGTGCTACTCATAGTGAGGAAGGTGGCATCTCATCTTAAATGTACAAATTGGACTTACTGTACATGAGGGATCTGAGTTTGTCCTCTCTGCTTGCTGCAGATACGAGAGGTGCCTTGCACATCCCAGGCATGTGATTCTTTTTCCTCTAAGTGTCCCTACAATGCTGGCTTTGCTTCCATGCTTAAATGATTCACGCACTAAATTGAAGAATCAACTCTGATTCTGGTTATGAGGTGATCTTAATTAGCTAAGGAAAATAGCAGCCTCTCTCCTGCTGCAGCCTCTCTCCTGCGGAATTCCTTTGCACGTCCCAAGGATATGGTAGTGGTTAAATATCCTGCCAGTCTGAAGGTGAGCAGCTTTCAGGGTTTTTTTGGATTCAAGAAAGGAATGAAGTGAGGAAGCCTTATCAGGTGAGGACCCTGCTGTATGTAACCAAAGACTTTGTCTTTTGTGGCCTCCCATCCTCTCCTACTGTTTGCAAAAATCACTTTCTGTCCTCTGTTATAGTTATACTTTGGCCAGGGGAAGAGAGATCTCATTGTTACTGCAGAGCACCCAGCTCTGTGGCATAGGCCTTAATGGCAGGCAAGGAATTAAAACTATGGGAGGTACTGCTTTCCCTTCCCCTGTGTCCAGTTCTGTCTACCCAAAACTGGGTCCTAATTCTAGCTGATGGTGTGGTACGGCCGCTTGCCCTTTCATCCACAGGACACATTATAGACCCTTGTAAAACCTCGTGATAGCTTTGTGGTACAGAAATGTGCAATATAAAGCCAAAAGGCATTCTTTAATGTAAGGCTGTAAAATGTACACAGGGCCCATCCCACTTTGCCTCTTAGTATTTTCCCTATTCCTCTTGCGGGTACCTGCACAGCATCAAGGAAAACTGGACGTGTGTCCCTTCTGAAACAGAGTTCTATTCCAGATATTTAGTCTTGGGGAAGATGAAGCTCTGCCTCCCTGTGGGGAAATAAATTCAGCTAACCATGTAGTGCAGGGTGGGGGTAATGTCAGCATGTTGCACGATAACTGCTCAACAGTGCTTCCTTGTTGCTTCACCTATTAAACATGAGCGCGCATGTGCCCAAGGAAGGGCCCAGCTGCAGCAGCTGCAAAGCCTTGTGCTCTGCCCTGAGCTTGTGTAACAACAGGGAATGCCTCTTCCTCCGACAGCCAGGTGAGTCCGTGCTCTAATGTACAGCTGTGGCAACTGCTTTGCTGCTGGGAATGGGAGTGTATCGCCTAGTTTTCTGCTGGCCAGCCAAGAGTAGCTCTTGGGCTGCAAAAAGAATCCAAAATGCTATAACAATTGTTCTTCTCTCTGCCATAAAGTCACTTGTGCATAGTTGAAGCAAGCTTCTTTGGTCTCAATTTCATTTCACTGTGCAGCTACAGGAAGGGTTACAAACTACTCAGGTTACTTACAGTAAAAGCAAGTAAGTTTTCCCGGTACACATTTGGGTCTATTCTTGTCATGTGCGATTGCTATCAGAGCAGGAGGTGCTGGAGCCCCCTCTGTCCGAGCCTGACCCTTCCAGTTGGAGCAGCGCTGTACACAGTGCTTCCAAGCGATGGTGTTTCGCACCAGGCAGCAAGTTCAATAAGCCTCTGAAATTTGCTAGATGCAAGCAGATTGTACGTGGGGCTGAGGTTTGGGTGTTTTTCGGTCTCTTTGTGCAGCTGCTGGTGGAATGCGTTTCCCAAGCCCCCATCTGCGGGCCTGTTTATTTTCCTTCCTCTAAACCTTTTCTTTGTAGGGCAAGATGAAGAACAATGGGGAGCAATGGTCTGAAACTGAGCAAAGCAGGGGAAAAACTAGTCTAGACGTCAGTAGCAGTTTCATAACCGATGGAAACGAGCATGGGAGCATTTGCCCCTGGGAAGAGGCTGAATCTTTTTTCATCATATTCAAATGAGGCAATGCAAAGAGGAGGAGGATTCTGTTAAAATTGGAGGTGTAGGGTGTGTAAGGATTTGCTGGCATGACTTGGTCTGGAGGAACTCTCACAGTCTGTCCTGCCTGTTAACTCAGTATAGATTGAAGACTTGATTATAGGGTATTTCCTGTTAGAGAGGCTTCAGCATGTCATCTTGCTTACTCGCACGTACAAGGTCACCTGATTTATTAGAACCTCAGGCACTGCCTAAGCTCTGGGGGGGATGTCTGGAAAGAGCAGATAGCTGTGAAGGGGCTGGCATGAGCATTTAAGCTGAGCATTAGTTGACATTTGCAGTGTAGAAAACAAGAGCTTTGCCAAACCAAGCCTGAATGTTGGCTGTATCCAGAGACCTGCACCTGGTCAAGTTACAGTGCAAGAATTTGTACAGTGCTACTGTTAAGCAGTTGAGCCCTGATAGCTCTATTCAGGGCTTGTACTTATGAAGCAACTGGAATAACATGCTTGGTATGGTGGTAACCATGCTCCATTCTGGCACTTGAATTTAGACTTGGATTTTGTTTTTGGCCAGGACCTCAGCTGTTTGCAAAGGGGCAGAGGAGGGCTGTGATAGTGGTTCTGACCACCCCTGGCAGCAGAGCTCCACCTGACTTTGGGATTGTCCTTATATCTACACCAGCAGATTTATAATGTGTTGTCTTCCTCCTCAGCTATACCTCCCCCACCTTTTTTATTTCCCCTCTGGTCTAAGTGGGTAATAGACTAAAATGGGAATTGCCCTTGGGTAACCTCCAGCAAGCAGAATGTTCCTCTGTTGACACAGCTTTATAAATGGATTTATGAACGCTTTGTGAAGGCCACACCTGGTGAAGGGCCCTGACTTCTCTAGTGGTGCCCACTGAGCTTATCCAGGGATGCGCTGGCACTAGATCTATTTGGGAGCCTTGCCTGCTCCTCCTGTGAAATGGTCAGTGCTGTATCGCTGTGCCTCAGCTCTGAGGAACACACCCTAACCCAACAGAAGTGTCTCCATGGACTGTACACTCTGGTGTTTTCCTGTTCCAGTCACTCCAGGGATGATAAATAGCAATGGTAATAAATAAAAGCAGATGCTATAGACTGAAGATTATGTATGACCCATTTTCCAATAGTAGTACACATGTTTTAGTACATGAAGTACTCTCTCTGTGTATGGTTTAGTTTCTTCTCCAATACCTCTCTAGTGTACCCCCCTCTGTGGCAGGAAACTGGAGTGCTTGGGCACGGGAGGGAAGGAAAGCAGCCTTCTGCAGATGTGGGTTTAGGCTGACACGCCTATAGGCTGCAAAACTTGTTGAGCAAACAAGTGGTCTGAAAAAGAAATTCATGCTGAAGGAGTTAGTCTTCCTTACTCTGGTGTCCATGCTTCTGCCTCCATGTTTCAGAGAGCTGAGGACAGATTGAAGGAAATGTCCAGGCTTCAGCTCAGCTGCTTCTGCCCCATTCCTACCCTTTCTTGGACCTGCCAGTGTTCTGCAGTCTCAAGGCATGGTAGAAAGTGGTATTTAACAAAATACAATGCTCTCCTCCTTTAAAACTTTGCTTCCTAATTCAACATTGTCTTGGTCAGGAGTTTATACAAAAGACTACGAATTTTGAAGTGAACAGAAATTTTCTTAAGTCAATATTGGTTTGTGGAGCAGGAAAGAAGTTTAAGGGATTTTTAATCTCGTGAGATGAGGCTCTCAGTAGTGCTAGCTCCAGGATGGCTCCAGGTTGCATATGCAATGCTGTGCAATACCATCCTTGTATAGCACCTCAAATATAGATGCAATACTCATACACTCTCCTGTGTTTCCCTGAGGTGCGGGGAATATGAACATGCTTATAATGCCTTAGGGCTTGAACTAGTTGCATGTGGAGCCAGCTGGGGTGTACCTACAGAATGCAGCTCATGTATGCAGCTGAAGAAGAGTACTGTGGTCAGAGTGAAACAGGCTTCACCATGTGAAGCAGTGAATGTCTGTATATCAATATACATATGTGCATATATATCTCAAATCCAATTAGTTCCCCACTCCCACCTTTCACTTGAGCTGTGAAAGAAAATGATGCTGCTTCACATCTACTGATGCAGAACTTCTTGTTTCAAATTCAATGAAGAATGTGCCATTGAGTGAAAATGATTTGGCTTGAACTAGTGAGCCTGTTTTCAAGAGAAATCATCAATTTTACCAGCTGTCAGTTTTGAAGTTTCAATGTTCAGAATTAAAGCCTCCAAGCCAAAACCATACATTTAATAGGTTAAATAGATTTGTTCTTCAGTAGCAATAAGAGACTGACAAGACAAGAGGAAGTAAATGTCATGTTTTTAATGCTGATTTGAACAGTCTCCCATGAAGTCAAAGCACCAAACTCTGGGTCACTTTCAGCGAAGCCTAATGGCACCGAGTTAGGAACCTGCCCGGACACACCTTGTTTTCAGTATTCATCACTGAAGGGATACTCTGGATGGTCACGCCACCTGTGGATAGGTCAGATTGAACAAATGAGCTTCTCAGGTGAAGCAGGATATGGTATCACCGATGCAGTTGCCCTGTGCCTAGCAACCCCCTTCTCCTCCTTGCAATATCTAGGTGGACTTCATGGAAGCCTCTTCTGCTTATTCAGAAACTGTCTGCTCTGAATAATCTTCCCTGCAGAGTTGGAAGCAGACCTGTTCATTTAAGGAGAGGACAGCGAAGGACCATTTTTCAGGCCTACAGACTGCATACCTTAAGGACAGATGGGAAAAAACAACAAGAGTTTGGATGTCAGCTATTCTCGCTATATTTGTGGATTTAACTTGGGTTAGTAGAAATGTAGTAGGGAAGGGGGATGGCTTTGCTATATGTGCATTGTGGAAGGGGAAGACTTCTTTGTTCAGATGTCTAGAAAGACCCTCAGAAATAAGGGGTATATTTGAAGGAGAGGTGGAGACACCAGACTGTACTACTTTGGCTTATGCACTTAGAGCTGGCATGAACAGGTCTGGGTCTGGTATGGTGCTTTCTCCAGGTGGCTGCCATATCCAGACTAGGTGTGGCTGTCCTCTAGCTCAGCCTAGCTGTAGATGCTCTGCCAGGTTAATAGCACCAGTGGCAGAGAATTTACAAGGAGGCTTTGGGGTAACCAAGTTCAGGGGAGAAAGGGATGTTCATAGCTGCTTACTACCGAAGGTAGAGACACCTCAGGCTTCATTTTAAAAACTGCATGCTCGGGGAAGATGCATGATCCAGGATCATTATAAAAGGCAAGAAGAAAATTCCCAGGGTCAACTGCAGGTGAAAAAAATAACACTGTGTTTGCCCATTATTTGACAGACTTGAGAGAGAGGTAGCTGGTTTTTGTTGTGGGTTCTCTTGTTTGTTTGTTTGTTTGTTTGAGAAGATGATGCTAAACCACAAGCCCTGGCTCAACAAACACTTTCCATTAGCAAAATCAAAAATTTCTGAAGAGCATTCTCAGGTGCACCATGGCAGCTGGCTGGCTTGCCTTACAGGCAGAGCACAACAAATACTGGCATTTATCCCAGCTGTGAATCGTTCCAGTTTGGGAAGGATACATTTCACAATATTGAAGTTAACTAACTGGAAGGCATCAAACATTTTGAATTGGTTGTGTCAAAACACTTCATTCCAATATTCAGCCAAGCTGAAGTGTTTACACATTAACAGATTGCAATTGGTTCAAAAAAACAAGCCACAACACTTTGGCTTGTTTGGTTTGAGTATAACTTGACAATGTCTGAGTTGCCAGTGTCATAATCTCTCCATCTATGGAGCATGCTTGCTAATCAGATCTCACATGTTCAAAGGTCTGAGTCCTTTGAATGAAAATGATTCACTCAGAGGATCAATACAGCTTGGAATAACAGGTAAGGAAGAATATCCATAGCAGAGACTGGGAGCACAAGATAAATCAAGTAGACAGATTAATGTAAAACTTGCCCAGCACGATACTGGATTTCTCCAAGGGGACAAGAAACCATTTCAGACTGAGATTTCCTGGAGTGCTCATATTTTTACAAAACCTCAATTTTCTGCTCAGATGCTTAACTTGCTAACTCATTCCACTGATTGCAATATCCTATTTGTATGGGCTTACTCACACCATCAGAACAAGACTTGCACACAGTACCCATGGTAGCTGATAACCGGAAGAGCCAGAGGAAAGCTAGATTTTTCCATTCC